GGGGGGGGGCAGAAAGGAAAGGGCGCGGCAGGCAGCGCAAGCTCCACTCACGTGCTTTGAGAGGCTTGATGTCGTCATTAACACTGATCAAGCTCGGATGAAGCAGCACAGCAGCTTGGACAAGCTCATTTACGTTGGCATAAGCGGCCATCTTGCCTCCATAGCAATATCCCACCGCGCCCAACTTCTCCAACTTCTTCTCCTCCGTCAAAGCCTTGACGAAAGCTTTGAAACCGTCGTACTTGGTCGAAGGTCTGTGCTTGATGAACCAGGGAACCATGCTGACCAATTTGAGACTAGAAGCAGCCTTCTGGAAAAAGCTCTGCGCATTGACTTCCTTGGCAGTCCCAGGCGCATCGTTCATCACTTCGGGCTTGACCGGATCTCCCTGGAAGTAATCTGGAACATAGACCGTCGTGCCCAACTTGTCTGCCAATGTATCGGCTAGTATCTTGTTGTTTTTGAGCGCCAAGCCAAAGGCATCACAGGCAAAAATGATGCCCACTGTGCTGCTGCGTGTAGAAGAGGGCGACGCAATGTAGGTGTTGTAAGGCCCGATCTTGCTCTCCTTGCCTTTGCTCTCTCCTGGCAGGACATCTCCTGAAACGCAGTGCACGCAGAAAGGCTGTGCGTTGGCTGCTCCTGCACCGGGCTTTGAGACAGATGGAAGTTGGGCTGCTGCTTCAGACATGATGACACGGATGGCGGTGCATGTGCTTGGGGACAGTTTGTGGTGATGGTGGTGATGGTGGTGACGGTGGTGACGACGGTGGTGGTGGTACCCTCGCCCAGAATACGACGCTGGCCCATGACCAACAAAAAAGCTCCGCTGCTCAGACTGCACTGCACGTTTGCTGCCTCCACATCGCACAAACGCTGTCAACGGATCCGAAAAGTGCGCACGCGCACAGAAGCAGCTTTGCTGCTGTGCTTTCCGCGCTCGCTGCATGTCAGCTCATCCTCGCACATCGTCTTGCCTTTGGCTTACATCTGGTCTCGTGTGAGGGGCCTAGGAATGTGAATCACGACTGACTGTGTCAGTCTATCGCGTATACAATTTGAATTTGATCGGTTTGACCGCCCTCTCCACACCTTTTCCCCGCCTGGTCACGTGGTATGGTCGGACCACACGAATTTTGACAACTCAAAACTATAGGCCGACTTCCGACTTCCGCGTCTTCCTCTTACTCCACCATGCACCATGCACCGTGTGACTGTGACTGAATCGGAGAATTTGTTTGCCGAGGCAAGGCGCGCGTCCAAGACGCTCTTCCTTCCCAAGGAGTGCGTATCCACAAGCGTGAAAAGAGGTCCAGATGTTTGTTCTGGCACCAAACACCGGTGGGGATTGCGCGGTGGCTCAGCACACCGAGTGGACTGCGCATGCCCCATGGATTCCAATCATTCACGATTTGAAGGGCGCGGGCGCACCTTGCTGCCAACTCGAGGCATGAATGAGCTCCGTGGTGCACATCCACCGAGCAGAGTGTTGCCTCATCAAGATGATGGTGAGCATGAACATGAGCATGATTGGAGTTAGGTCTCACTGGCCATGCATCGCGATTGCGGCTGCTTCGCTCGCACCCATGGCTGCTGGACAGTGAGTG